TCGTGGAGATACCTATTACAGCACTTGTTACAATATCTACGACAGTAATTGTTACGATACCCGCCAGACACTCGTTATTATATCTTCTAATACTTTCGTAAAAATACCTACCGCAGCACTTGTTACGATGTCTACTACAGTAATTGTTACGATAACCGCTAGACAATCTTTATGAAAGCTGCTACCTTAATCATAGAGACGGCTACTACGGACCTAGTTGCGATGCTTACTGCAACACCCGTTGTGATACTTACAAAAGCTCTTGATATAATATTCAATACAGTATTCGTTATAATACTTGCTACTACACTTGTCATGACACTTACTACAGCACTGGTTACGATCCTTACAAAAGTATTTCATACAATATCTTATACAGCATTTGTTATGGCACCTTCTACTAAACTCGTTACGATAGCGGCTACAGCACTCATGGAGATACCTATTGCAGCACTCGTTACGAAAAGATAAAAAAAGATTCGTGATAGATACATAATACTGTAAAACGAATAAGACTGTGATGACTAATCAAAAATAGTAGTTTTCCTACGAGTTTGAAAAGTCTTTGTTTGCGAACCGAGAGGTTTGCGGCCCGAGCCGAAGGCGAGGGACGTAACGAGGTTCGTAAAGGAGACTTTTCGAACAAGTTCCGGAAAACTGCTTTTTCGCCCGAGGAAGTACTAGCCTCCCAAAACCACCCGAGGGCGGAAAAATATATAAATTAGTTTTAAAGAAAGAAAACTACGTTATATGGCCATGATGTTATAATGGTTTAAATAAAATAAAATCTTCAAGTTCGTAAACTGCATTATTTATAAACTGACTAAAAACGCAGTATAATTTGTATAAGTAGCAATGTAAATAATTTTTTAATATTTTTGTACCAAACGATTAAAAGCCCACTAAGTTTTAGAATATTTATTTGTATTTTTGTGGCGATAAAAAATTTAGAGATTAAGCTTCAGGACTTTGTTGCTTTGGTAGTCAAGTTGTGAGATAAAAAAAAAAAATTTTTAATTATATATTCTTTGATCTTAACAGCTTTAAAAAATAGCTCTTTTCGTAAATTATACGGGAGAAACTGAAAATCAACGGCTCCTTATGGCCAACGATTATTTTATGGCATAAGGAATGCACAGTACTTTTCAGCGTAAGTATATTTTTTATTATTTTTTACAGCTTATTATTTGACCAAATAAACTGTATGGATTCCGATCAAATATGTATTTAATAAGAAGATTTTTGTTATAAGAAGTATCAGGAATAGATGTAATATTTTTAACTAAAAACGTTTTACATCACATGTCAACACACTACGGTGTTCCATTTAGTAAGTCTCTGGCAACGCCGAGACGGGGGATGCTAGTAGACAATCTTTTTTTAAACTTTTGAAAAATCATGTGTTGGTTCACTAGAAAACATGCAGTTATTCAGCCAGCTCATTCGCCCAACTTATCATTACCTGACTTCTACCTTTGGGACTATTTGAACAATGTTGTCTATGAACAACAGTTAACAACCAGAGACGATGTGACTCGCCGTATACGATAAGCGTGCGATGATATTCCTCGAAATGAGGCCATTAAATGATCTTTAATGTTGTACATTTTAATTAAGATTATTTGACTTTATAATGTTCTACCTTGGTATGATGTTCATTTAACAAATTTAATAAATTAAATTCTAAATTCTGGGCCTTTGTAAGACCTAAATGCGAAAATTCGAGACAACTATTAATTTATCTATTATTTTCTGTATAGTGAAAATTCGTTATGAAAAAAACTAGGTTCCCCTTGAATCTATGGAAACATTGGACTTAGCAACAAAGTCTATCACGCCCCAGGATTTGTGCGAACTACATGTATTTAATAAATAAGTTGAAGGCTAGAATAAAAAGTACAAGCAGAACGAGGCTCAAATGAATTTTTTATGTCACTTATATAGATTTAGTTATTCATGGATACATGTTTTATACTAACTTTTTATTTGATTACTGCCAGACTTTCTCTTAATTTTTATAACTATTTTATTGTAAGAATTTTGGATTTTTATTTATAAAGAAAAAAAAGTTTCAATACAATAAATATAAATAAAAATTTATAATACAATTAATGATATAAATAATCTGAAAAGATTGCAATGGAATGCTGAAAGTATAAATAACAAGCTAGACCTACACAAAACTGCAAAGATATTGATGTAATGGCGTCATGGTTCAAACCTAAGGATCGTTTTAACTTGACAAGCTTTGATACTATGAGGTACAACAGACAAACCAGCGAGATAGGAGGTGGGGTTCTTCGTGAGGAAAGGCCTTAGCTACAAAAGAACTAAACGTCGTCTACGAAAGCCTCGAAATGGGCTCGGTCTTGATCGATATCAGCAAAGGCGACGTCTTTATTAAAGCCTGCTACAGATCACCCAAAAATAATAACAACTTAACTTAGTCTGAAATTACTACACCGATAGACAATATTGGTAACAATGATAACTGAAGGGTTAGAGACGACTCCTAGGGAAGTGACCACCTTTCTATAAAAATCAACCTAAATACCACTCCAGAATTTGACCACAACACTAAATGAAAGTATAACCTTAAGAATTTAGATAGAGTCAACTTCCTTAAAGCTTTAGATACTTACAAAGAACAGTTCCTAAGTTTAGATTTTCTTAATACTGAACCGTTGACTAGATATCAGTTCTTTGTTGATATTATAGATAACACCGTTAGACACCACACAAAGAAAAAAAAGGATCCAACACCTGGTGAATTGAAGACTGTGAAAAGGCTGTGCGTAGACGCAGATTCATGTTTAAATCTATGAGATACAGATGCGATCTGCCTTCCTATACATGAACTATAAGAAACTATGTATTGAAACAAGAACAATAAAATGAAAGCAAAGAAAAATTCTTTTAAGAGCTATTGTGAGGCGGTAAATAGGCTAACACCTATATCACAAATTAGACTTATTTTTATAAATACTTATTCACTTATCTAATTTAACCTTGTCACAATTTACCTGATGTGAATGATGTTAAAGTATCACTACATGATTCATGGCCGTGTAAAATTATTTTTTTAAGACAATAAAAATATATGTAAGAAAATCCATAAAAAAGATTCCGTTTCTGTCCCCCATTTTAATAAAAAAATTTTTTTTAAGGCATACCCTTAAAACCACGCTCATTTTACTCGTAATGCTATGTACTATGAGGAAAAAATTTTGAACACGGATTTTAGTGAGGGTGACACCGTTTTTCTGTAATTTACATGCTATTATTATGTCTGTATATATCATCTATATAAATATAATTGTAACATATGAATCACGGAAAAAGGATGTCAACTCTTGCTGACACCCGCGTTCAAATTTTTTTTTTATCGTACATTTCATACATAATTTGGNAACTCGTTCGAAAAGTCTCCTTTACGAACCTCGTTACGTCCCTCGCCTTCGGCTCGGGCCGCAAACCTCTAGGTTCGCAAACAGAGACTTTTCAAACTCGTAGGAAAACTACTATTTCGCAATATTGTGCGGAAAATATTTGTTTTTCGCACTATTTTTAGTGTGGAAGATCGATTTTCCCGCATAGCGTGTGGCAAAGGTTTTTCCACACAACAGAAAAATTTTTGCTACACACCAGAAATCTCGTGGAGAACGAATGAAGATACCGTATGTGTACAAGTATCAATCCTAAAATTTCAACTCTTAACTAAAATTCCTTCTCAATGACTTTTTTTGTTAATTCTATTAACTATAAATTATTAAAATTCCAGAACGTTTTATTGGGAATCACAATCCGATTACGTTGGTGCGGGTATCTTTAACAAAACTTATTACAGTTGTAAAATTCTTTGAAAATGTTTTTGTTTAAATAATTCAAAGTTTACTTTTTAAAATAAAATTTTCATTAAATCCAATTTCTATTTCTATATTTGAGGCATAAAAACACTTTTTTTTTTTGGACGATCATTTGGTATTTTTGCAGTCGGGGGCTTTGCTCCTCCCTTACCTCCTGGAACTCACACGACCTTTCTTGTGAATCATCAACATACTTACTATTTTTCTCACACTTATTGCGAAAAATATTGTACGCAACTCATGCACAACGATTTTACATACTCGTGTGATAGACTCGCACTCGTGGCTGGTGACAGTAACTCTTACCTAGCGATCACACGAGTGCTACGCAACTGGCACTCGGACGCGAGTCAACTACGACTCGTGCGGGAAATCATTTTTTTCACACATGTTACGTAAATAACTACTTTATACCTTTACAAGTTTTGTACACACTGGTACTGCGTCAGACTGAGAAGTTCCTCGGGCGAAAAAGCAGTTTTCCGGAACTCGTTCGAAAAGTCTCCTTTACGAACCTCGTTACGTCCCCCGCCTTCGGCTCGGGCCGCAAACCTCTCGGTTCGAGAGACCAGAGACTTTTCAAACCATTCAAACAGAGACTTTTCAAACTCGTAGGAAAACTACTATTTTTTACCATGGGCCCAAATTGCAACTGCCGCTTTGCACCCTCGGGTCACACTTTGCGCCCTTGTAATCACTTTGGGCCCACGGGCAGAAAGTGATTTACTGGGCGCGAAATTGCACTTTGCGCCCTCGGTAAGAAAAATATTATACGCGACTCGGGTACCAACCTACAACAAGTGCGCCCTTCGGGCGCTCATGTTTGTACTTTGTGCTTTAGTGACGTAATGTACCATAATATAAGCCAATCCTCAAATGAAGGCACATTTCTTACGTACATGCATCAGCTGTAATACACACGTACACATACAAGCACGCACACACACATACACACACACACCTCACAATCGATATAGGTATTCGAAAATTTATAATTGGATTTGTGATGGGTGTATATTCATAAGAACAAAGAAATTTATTTTACAAACTATTTTTCTAATAGTTTATTTAAAACCTAAATTTACTGATTTTGTAGATTTAGTTATAAAAGTTTATAAAAAATAAATAATTTTTCTAATGTGTGTCCATGAACTGAATCTCGCTGAGCAGCAATATGTGATTTGGCAGAGGTCTGGGTTGTGGACTGAGAATCGTGAAGGTTTGACGTTCCACATCGACATTCGTTCTTGAAAATAAAAATTTCAAATATATTTTTATGTATTTTTCTGTGAATGATAAACATATAACTACGTAAGACTATGTTGAATCTTAGCAGCGTCATAGATAATTACTAAGCTCTGCTTTATTTTTCTGAAACATAAGGCCATACGACCTTAAACTTCTTAAATTGTGGCGCTCTAACCGAATATCATTATCCTCTCCCTTTCAAAAGAGGAACGAGAGAACGTGGAAAAATTAAAAATTTTGCGCTTTTTAAGAGCTACGCTCTTAACAGTTTTTTTCGTGATTTAATATCTTTTTCGTTTTTTTCCTTTTTTTTAACTACACGTTTTTTATCAAAAATTTATATGAGTAACGGTGACTAAAATCATTCACTGACATGACACTAAAATGTTAAGAAATCTCGTTGACATTATTAACTTTTGTTACTATTACGTTGAATATAGAAATTAATCAGAAGTTTTCTAAACGAAGTTATTTTAGAAACTGGAGTGCTGTAAAGTTAAAAACTATAGATTCTTGTTTAATTTTAAGGCTAAAAATTTGAAACAACGCCACCTGCAAGCGAAAATATATCGATACTAAGTTAGTGGTAGTGCACGAGCACGAACACCATATTATTGAAATAAACATTTGTAAAAGATTATTGTCCATAAAGAATACACAGCCCTTTATGCCTAATAATCTTTTACAAGTGTTTATTTCAACAATAAAATATCTTTTACAACCAAAGTAAGTTCATCCAGTCTCAAGTAGCGTATTAATAGTCAAAAAAGCTATTTTTATTATTTTATTAAAAAAAGTAAGCTTCTCGTATGAAATAGATGTATTGTATGAATGAGCATAATAATATTACTTTTTAATGTGCTGACTCAAAAGTACTTCACAAAACAAATTGATATTCGAGGAAAACTGCAATATTCACTCACAAAATACAAGTATTCTTTTATCAATGTACTGTTAAATAGGTATTTTTCAGCTGAGAAGTATGTTTATCACTTAAACAAATTACATAAATTGAGTAATGTACATTATTGTTGAAATAAACGCTTGTAACAGATCATTGTCCATTAGATTGTATTCTTAGAAGTTAGTATCGACATATTTTCCCTTGAAGATGGCGCTATTTCAAATTGCTGCACGAAGCGAACAGTGAATATATTGTTGTCTTCATAGATAACTATGTCGTTAGTACGAATTCATTCATATTTTTTACGATTCACATACAATTACAGGTTAATTAAAAAAAAATGTTTTAATAACTGACTTCGCCAACAAATAATTGTCACCATGACATATTTCGTGATTAATTTTTTCGCACCATGAGTCTACAGAGCCTATAAAATTACGAAGGGGCTCTCGCTTTGTGCAGTAATCTATTACAGCGCCATGCCACCTGAATGGCAAGATAAGGCGACTCTGGATAACATTAATACAAAGCCTTGTAAGTGATGTAAGCTTTTTTAATTGTTTTTTGTAGTTTTAATGCATTTTTGAAACTTACAGTATCGATTTTCAGTGTAAAAAGTTTGTACTATTTTTTTCAAACCGAAAACAATTATTTGTTACTTTTGTATTTACACTTCGTTCATAAGTTGGATAAAGGCATGAGTTAGATTCAAATAAGATACATAACAGTTACATTATTTTTTTTTTAATCTGAAGTAATAGCTATTATCTGTATAAAACAAATTGCTGACACTAAAAATCGATACTTTATGTGTCAAAAATGCATTAAAACTATAAGAATCGATTAACAAAATTTGCAGCAGCCCATAACAGGCTATGTAATCGTGTTACTTAGCATTATCTCTTTTTGCCATGCAGGTGGCGCTGTTTTAGAATACTGCATATAGCGAATATGGGGATGGCGACCTAGCAAAATAATCTCAGATGGCGAAACCGATAGTTAGACTCTAGCCAATGAGATGTGAGAACGGTTTGTGCACGAAAGTGTGCATATGCACTGCAGACGACACATAAACCATTCTCATATCTCATTGGTTAGTCTTAGTACCGGTAGCGCCATCTGAGATTAGTTTACCTAAGGTCGTCATCCCCATATTTCTTAATAGGTACGTTTTTTTTGTGATCGGTCGGTCAGTTAGTCATTCTGATTCCTCGAGCGTGTATGTCTATGTACATAGTGAATATAGATGTATACTTAGTTGAGGAATTGGACCGACCGACCACCGATCGACCACCAAAAAAATTTACCCCAAGTCCCTCACAGCTTCTTACGACCAGTGATCCATGCAAAGAGTATAATGATATTAGCGCACAGAGTGTAACAGATAGAATGGTATAAAACAAGCGGATATGGCATTCCCAATTCGAGGTGAGACGCGACTACTAGCGCCGAATAGCCTATACAAAAACAAATCAAGTAGCCAAAGTTAAAATTAAAACATATCCTATTTGACTCGTTCAAAAAAAAGTGCGCCAATTTAGCTCCGTTTTATAATTTGAAAAGCATCACGCGGCAATAACGCATACTAAAACCTGTCCTACGAGTATCACCTCGAATAAGCACGCCAAAATGCACCCCAAATCGATTTCGAACGGACATAAACCACTTGGCAAATAATTAAAAAGTACATTTTTTCTCAAAGCAACAGAGCTCTAACCTTAGAATTGTAGGTTTGAGGTTAGATTAAGTGTATTTTTGGTTTTATCTGGAACAAATTAGCAAGTTTTCATTAAAATTAAATTAAAAAAAATATGGTAGCTGAAGATCATTGGTATATATACATTAAAATTTTTTACATTTTCTTGATACCAAACGTGACCTAAAAAAAAATTACTAAAACCTTTAAAAAATTCTAGAAAAAAACCAGGATATACTGAAATCCGGAGAAAATATCGTATTTTTTGTACCTAAACAATAGTAGTTTTTGTCGGATAAGTGCCACCGTCTCTAGGGCTATTTTGCGGTTCGACGGACCTACGAAGCAAAGCCCGAGTGACGTAAGGTAGCCACGGAGCTATGGCGCTTATGTGGCGAATTCTATTTTTCCTACTGAGGGTACACCCAACTATCAGAAACATCCGAAGTCGGAAAATTTTTTTTAAGTCCTAATAAATGGTGGAACGCAGTCAAAAATAATCAAAATATTAAATAAAAATAAAAAAATAATAAAAACCTATTTTCCAGTCAACTATAGCTAGCGTCTGCAGGCTAGGGGCAAAGAATATATGTTAGACATTTTTTTTCAAGTTTCTTACTATCGCAGACAGCAGTCTAAGTTTTTTTACATTCATGAAAATGATTGTGCTTTAATAGCATCATTTTCGTTATTTGGATAAAAAATTTTTTTTGTAGTATCATGTGCTTCACCTTTTTCGGTAAAAAAGGTACGATTGACTTGTAATGACAATCAATTATGAGAACTCCGAAAAAATACACAATACACTTTTCCTTCAAAATTTAATCGAAGTATATTTTGTACCCTTTAAGACGAGAATTATCATTTTTTTCTGGTTTACATACTTATCGTAAAGAAAAACGAACATAGTGTCGCAATAAAAAAAATTGAGTTATTATGTTTGATTGGCAAATATTACTTGCTTTAACCCTTATAAAATGAGTAAAAACACGTTACTGTACATTAGTAAAAAATGCATTAAATTCAGTTGGTCCTATGATAAAAAAAAAAACAATGAATTTCTTTTTTTTTCTAGTTGATAATAGTTTGTTTTCACATGAGAATTTTCCTTTGTTCTTTTAAAAAAATAGTCCAAGATTACTATTTGCGTCTCCACGCATGACACGCGCGCCTAAAATAAACAATTAATTGTTTAACACGTGAAATGGATAATAAAGAAACGAATTTTATAGTAAACGAATAATGGACTCGAGAATTCTCTTCATAATCTATTTTGGAAATTCTGTAAAAACTTATTTGTTTCATAAAAACAATTTTTTGTATGATAAAAAAGTATAAAAATAATTCAAAAAAGTGGTGGAATGTTTGAAGCCATGGTTTCCTAAGTGAAAAAAATATATGAATTTTTGTTTTTTTTTATAAATTATAGGTTATTTGGGAGGATTACATTGACTATAGAAAAAAGGAGCGCTCCGAGCTGCTCCAAGCTAAATCCCGAACAAATCTAGTAAAGAGCTATCTAGATGCTGTCCATTAATTTGTTGCTCAAATCAAGAACTTAAAAAGCGAGTAAATATTAACTTTATAGTAAATAAACAAACCACTAAGTACTTACACACATACAAAGCCGGCAACGTTGGTTTGAACAACATCGTCTTCCGGAGAGTCTGCAAATGATACAGATAGCAAATGGTGCAAGAGACTTGGGCCTGGAGTAACTGCAACTAATTTCGTTAAATTATCCTCTGCCTTCATTCCCAAAGGCATGCAAGAAGAAGGTAAAATCGGAGCTCCAATCTTGAAAAGTTTTGCTTCGCTCCATTTCACTTCAAAACTGTGTGGATAAAGAGGTGTCCTCGAGCCATAGAAATATTCTCTTATGGATTGATCACGAGCTTCACACCTTTGTGTCTGAGTTCTTTCAACAACACCCCCACTTTTTGGTAATAAGACCACTTTAACAAAATCCGGCATGTCTCTCACTAGTTCATTAAAGAGTCGTTCTTGATCTAGCACTAGGATTGTGTCAACTTCAAACGCTTGTGCAGCATGCGTTAACATTTTATACCCACCAGCCTTAATCCAACCACAAGTGTTGATTATGATTCCAGAGTGTTTGGCTTTTTTATTGGCTTGTAGTCTTTCGGAACATACTTCAGCCAATCTTGTGACCAATAAATTGTAAAGAACCGAGTTGCCAGTAGGATTTTTTAGTCCAAAGTGAAAAACAAGAGGCGCTTGTTGGCTGAAACCATCAACAACGTTTGATGGCCTCTCGACAAGCAAGGCACCTACTGTTCCTGGAATAGCTATGTGACCTTGACCAACATCTAAATCAACAAAAATAGGACGTCTACCCATCCTGACAGCATAATTCAACAGTAATCGACAAAGTGTTGACTTTCCTACGTCTGATGGCCCCACAACCATAACAATAGGACCTCTTTTGTCTTCTTTCTCAGCCACTTCCCTCATCTTTTCCATGGCTGCATGGCAATTCAAGTACATACTCATTGGAGTTTCTTTAGCAACATAGCTAACATCAGTTTTGCCAGTTAATTCTAGTGTGCATCCTTGCCAGGTGAAAACAGCTACTTTAGCACCACATATGAATTCGTATTTTTTTCCTTTTACCAGCTCTGTGCCAAAAACTTCAGCAAGTCCACTCTTCAACTAAAAACAAAACAAATGGAAAGAGCTTACTATTAAAAAATACACAAATTACAAGATTATACCAACACTAATAAGAGTATAATAGATTCACTTTTTAATTCATCAATACAATTTTTTAATCAGATCATTCAGCATACAATGTAACATTATCACTGTATTTTTTTTTTATCTTTCACAAGTGCATGAAAAGAGTAGGTACATCTATCAAAACTGAAGTTTGACAGCAACTCAAACGTGGTAGATAAGAGTAAGTAAAAAGACAGAACTTATGTCACAAATAAGTAGCCATTGAAAAAATAGTGTCAATAAAATATCAAAGCACATACTGTAAATTGAATATTGTAATAACAATCCAGGTGAACTTTTATTTAAAAAAAGCGTCTACATACAAGTTTGGTATACATATTTTCATGCAATTAAAAAAAGAGATATCAACGTATTTTTTTGCTTTCACGTGAAAAGTAAATTCAAATAGTGCTAATTACCTCCAGTGTAACCTTTTCGTTCTTCGTCTCCAATTCAAAACGTAGCTCGCAGTCAGGATCGAGCTTAAACTCCTGCACCTGTGCCCTTTCCTCCGCCATTGAATTTAAGTAACGACCAGGTATAATGAATGACTTTGACAATACTTTTATTTTTTTTGCAAAATGCAATACCGGCTATACTATACTGCTTACTTCAACCTTCAACCCACTCTTTTCTCTCTCACCTCAGTCATCTCTGAATCTCTCTCATTCTCATCCGTGATCGATGCGTAAATATATATATATACAGTCTATTCGAACGGTAACAATAAACCTCACATGATAACTTATGCATTGTTACCGACGTTCGACGTTACCCACCGCGCATGACAACTCAACATACATACCTGCTTTACGGGTAAGCAGATTACAGGGGACCATCAATTAAATTGCCAAGAGAATGTGAGAATTGTCATTTTGGCATCAAGAAAAACGGCAAATCTCTGGCCATTTACATATAAAGTCTACTTAAAACAATATTAGGAAATTGACAATTACCATCCATGTGATTGTTGAAATGTTGACATGTTTTTGTACAAACAAATAATGTTTTTAGCATTTAGAATAGATCTTATGACAACTTCAAAAAAATAGCGTAAACGTGTAATGGTATATTATAACAGTAACTATCAGTAAAAAAAAATATGTACAGTTAGTTGAAAACAAAACTAAACTTTGTTTGCTTATATGTATTTTTAATATTTATGAATCATGTACAAACCGTTTTTTATGTCAGATATTCTAGTATAACATTTTTTACAATATGCATGAGACTTTCGTACAAATATTAAAAATAGACAATCTTGTAGAGTTTTTAAAAAAGATTTGATACAATAGAAGAAAAAATTTATTTTAAGTAAATAAAACGAATGTAACTGATCCTACATTCTTGAATAATAATGCACTGAATTCGTAATAACAGTTTATTTTTTTCAACGACATTTATATTAAGACAAGAGAGCGCAGAAACAGGTGCTGCTTGTGTTTTGTACAGATTTCCAAATCGTTAATTAAATCAGTTTGAAACATAAAGGTATAACTTTCCATTAGAACGACGAAATTAAAAGAAACTCTTTACGACACTGTTTCTGGCAAAGACAAAGAGCAGAACACGGCGACGCCTTGTACGAAGATGGACATAGCTCAGGCTACTACGAAAACAGATAATGCTCAAGGTATCCGACGAAAAAAGGCACAGTTCAATTACGGCAAGGAAGACAGACACGAATGACTGATTTCAGTCGAAGAAAGACACAGGTTATCGCACTGCTACGAAGACAGACACTCCCCACTAACCTTCGTCGAATAAAGGCACATAAAATTGTGTTGCGATGAAAACAGACACTTGCCACTGACTTCCGATGAAAAAAGAAACAGATCGCTGCGATGAACACAGACACTGCTCACTAATCTCCAACGAATAAAGGCACAGAACATTGCACTGCGGCAAAGAAAGGCACTCTCCATCAATTTCCAACGAATAAAGGCACACAATATTTTGTTGCAACGAAAATAGACACTCCTCACTGACTTCTAACGAATAAAGACACATCATATTTAATTAATTAAATTCCTCTGACGAAAACAGACACTTACTATGAATAAAGGCACATCACATCTTGCTACAACAAAAACTTTACTATTACGGCGGGAAATTGATTTTTTTTTTTTAATACAAGAGGTGAGTAAGAATGTCTTTAAAAATATTTAGAAATATACTGATAAGGGTGTAACGTGTACTTTTTAAATTATAGGGATGGTCAGGAGGTATATAAAAATGCAAACATCACTATAAAACTGTAGGAACTAAATTTTTCAAGTGTCCCAAATTACCTAGAGTTTTTTTAGTATTTTTTATGGATAATTCTTTCAAATAAATCAATGTCAACGTTGAGCAGGAAGTCGATGTTACATAGAAGAGGGATAACTAAGGTATGTACATAATTTTCTCTGAGTTTTGCATATTGTATGGTCAGTTATTGTTACCTGACTATAAAACAATCTTAATGAAAATCTTAAAACTATGTGCTTTTTTTAATTTTAATTTTTATAACTTTTTCTTTTCGATAAACATTTTTTTTTATAGTCAAAGAAGAAATTAATTAAAAAATACAACGTGTAGAAAGTTAGATACATGAAAACGTGATCATTCATTCGACTATGTCTCAACGTCTTCGTTTAAATATGTTACCATCCAGGGCATTATTTCATTAATTATTGTATATTAAAATAATCGTTTTTCTTAAATTAGATCGTTTCTACATATATTTGAATTTTGAAATTTCGCGCGCAGCTCCGACTTCCAACTTAGTACTTGATAGTACCACCTATCGCTCGCCAGGTGGCGACNTTATTTCATTAATTATTGTATATTAAAATAATCGTTTTTCTTAAATTAGATCGTTTCTACATATATTTGAATTTTGAAATTTCGCGCGCAGCTCCGACTTCCAACTTAGTACTTGATAGTACCACCTATCGCTCGCCAGGTGGCGACCACTAGTCTTTAGGGAAAATTGCAAGTAAGAAAGCGACGTAAAGAATATAAGACGGACTGTGTGACGACTGATTAGGGTCGATCCGAGATTTGCAAATACGTGTAGTGCATATCTCTTAAGCCACTCAATTGCCTTAAGGAGGTTCGGTAGTGTTAGCGGGGGAAAATCTCAGAGAGGCAAGAGGAGGGAGAGCGTCTGGCAACGTTGTGAATTTTTTCGGCTGCTGGCACGTCGTCTACTGTTGTTGTCGTCTACTGCTGTTGTCGTCGTCTACTGATGACAGTGTACTTATTTCTTCGGTTGAATTTTTTATAATTAAATTTTCTATTACAAAAGGAGTTTTTACTATTCATTACATTTCAAAGCGCGCTACAAAAGCAGCGTTGCCAAGTCGTCTGCTGCGAGCACATTTTTGCTGTTTTTTAATAGAAATTTGTGGTAGGGCTCTCTCAAACTTTGACAAAATATTATTTTGACAATATTCTTTCATTTAAAAAAAAAAAAAAGCAAGTTCATTTAGCCGTTTTTTATTTATGTGAAATTTAAGTGATTTCTCCATAAGCTTACATGTTAAAATATTGTTTTTTCAGGTCAATATATCTTGAAAACGGTGTGGTTAAACCCTTCAAAAATTTAGCTGTAATTTGATACTATTATCCCAAACAACATATCGAAATTTCAAAAATTTTCATCATAAAAAATTATCACTACCGAACCTCCTTAAAGCAGTGGTAGAGAATTACATATTCAATGAATATCCCTGTACTAATATAAGACTCTTATCTATATTTTCTTTTCCCTCGAACCTTCCCTAGTCCTATTTTTAGATCTGGGTGCTCATGACCTCGCACCTTTTAACTCAGGAGTGGAGACAGTTGACTCCAGGCCAACAGATAGATGACTGTATCACCCAAGGGTACGCGGTAGTCACCTCCATAGAATTCAGACCAAGGAAGGTTACTCAAGACGTGACTATCCAATCTCCTGAAGATTTTTTCGAAGGTATGACACAACCTTCCACTGGTCCCACTAGAAGTGATCCCACTCAGAGGGTACGGACCACCCTTTTAAAACCAAGTACCTTTGCCCCCCGACGGCCACCTCCACCTACTACACCCTCTCCTGCTACGAGCCCAGAGGTGTTGGAGGCTCCCAAGCCGCTCATCCGGAGTATGGTCCAGGTATTACCCCCACTTCAAGATCCCGAGACCTCTCGATGTCGTCACGCAGTATGTCTTATATACTTTACGTCGCATTCTTACTTGCGATTTTCACTAAAGACTAGTGGTCGCCACCTGGCGAGCCATAGGTGGTACTATCAAGTACTAAGTTGAAAGTCGGAGCTGCACGTGAAATTTCAAAATTTAAATTTATGTAGAAGCGATCTAATTTAAGAAAAACGATTATTTTAATATACAATAATTAATAAAATAATGCCCTGGATGGTAACAAACCCCCCTGTTTTAAAGAGTTTATAACAAATTTGAGAAAGCAGTGGTAGAGCTACAGGAGTCGGAGAAGTTATCACTTTTGATATAAATGTTCGCGGTCATTCAGTCATCTATTTTCGATTGACAAAGGTCCACGGTTTCATGCACACTCACACTCTCACTACTTTGTACAGTGTCTTTTCATTATGAATGTATATTTTCACTTCACTTAGCTTATGATTTCGTGTACGCAAGTTGTAACGTTGGTTTGGCCCATCAGGGCCTCCGGGTAGTGGTACTGAGACGTCACCTAATTCTTCTGAATTGCTTCGGGATGGTCTAGTGGATTTATCCGATCTGCTTATTTTGCTAGCATTGGTTGTCGTGGTCTCCTGATCAGACCTTGAAGAAGACTGTGGGTCGGCGGTGTGCTGTGGAGTTGTCGATGCCGGCAGGTCGAAGTGTGTATTCGGACGTCAGCGGCGATCGATGGCCTCCGTTTGGGCGAGTTTGAGTTGAGAAACGCTAAGTTTCGTGGTAGCTCGACCCGTAGAGATTAGGTAGATATCCCCTGCCATATGAGCCGTGATAGGATAGGGACCTTCCCATTTTTGCGCGAAGCCGGCGCAAAACTGTTCTGGAGCCCTCGAGAGTGGGTGGTTACGTATGTAGACCAAGGTACCTGGTAGGTAGATAGGACTGGGTTGACCAATCGAGTAGTGTTGCTTCTGGTACTGCTCTTGATGCTCTATGGCATCAATATACCCCTTTTGTGAGAGTTGTTCTACCAATTGACGGGTTCTCCATTCCCCTGGTCAAGAGGTATCATGACCCAACAGCAGTTGAGCCGGAGATGCCCCGGTGGCGGCGTTGCGGCGATTTCTTAATTGGTATAATACTCTCGGTAAGTGTACGTCCCATTGGTTGTGGGATTGCCCGTGCAAATGTAGACGAAGGCCTCTCTTAATCTCCTGGTTTCGGCGCTCCGTAGGGTTGGCTCGAGGATGATAAATGGGAGTAGTCCAATGTTGAATTTCCCAACGCATACAAGTGTCTTGCCAGTATTGACCGATGAATTGTCGACCATTGTCCGTTAGGATGACTCGAAGATATCCCCACCAACCGAAAACTTCATCCTCCAAGAGCTGGGTAAGCCGTGGTGCCTCCGATGAACCCAGAGGAA